GCTCTCCAAAGGAAAATCTGTTTCTCCCCAGGTAAGTTTTAAGAAAGAGAAAGCGATATGTTTGGAGAAACAAAATTTGCCTACTTAAAAAAAAAAAAAGCTTCATTAAAGAGAAAATAGAAAAGATGCCCTGCAAATGCTAACTAGCTTTGACGGTGGCTATCTGCATCGTGACCAAAATCAGCGAGCTTTCTCCCTTTACATGGTGGGCAAGCTGCCAAGAACAGAGCATCCTGCACACAATGCCCTTTAGAAAGAAAAAAAGAAACATGAAAAAAATTCCTGCTACCTCTGAACAAGGAAAAGCTCCCTTCTGTACAGACAGGCTAGCCTGTGAGGAGCAGAGGTGAATGAGAAGCACGGTGTGCAGAAGGCTGGTGAGGAAGACTTACAGCACGCCCACACACTGGCTCCCAGCCCCCTGAAGGCATTTCTTTTCCTCCCTCCTCCCACCACCGCCCCTGACTATTCTAAAATGACTTTACATGAGCCACGTGCCAATTTCCTAGCACCAGCACCATGTATTATTTCCTTACCCTGTGCCCAATCTATATCATCTATCACGTTGGTATTTTCAAGAGATTATAAGAAACTGGGGTTTGCACACTGAAGGACACACAAGCATACATGGTCCCATTCCCCGGGGCACTCAGTGTGAAATGCTCTTGCACTTCCATTGCTGGGAAGTTCCCGATCCTGGTGTGCTGCATGGTTGGGGAATCAAAAACAAACCCCTTTGCCACTCTGACAAGTCCACCGGTTAATTCATTACGATAAACCCATTGTCCAAAACAAAAACATAACTTAATTGCTAAACCAGCTGCCCAAGTTTAGCTGTTGCTCTTGGCAAACCTGTCAGGATCTCGATATGCCTGGTTTTCAGCAAACATCTCTGTAGGTGCAAGCCATGCCTTCTGCCTTTGAAGTCTCCAAGTGTCCCTGTCACCCAAATCCAGCGTTTTCCAACCCAAGCGGATACTTAAAGGGATATCATCAGCTCAAACACTTCCCTGAATACATTAACATTACAGTTACTGAAATACTAGCAAACATCCTTTTTTTTTTTTTTCCCTAGCTGTCAACTGTGCATTTATCCAGCATTTATCCTTTCCCATTTAGGCAGCCTGATTTCCCTCGAAAACAGAGGGCAGAAAAAGAAAATAAGGTTTAACACATTTGAAGAAGTCACCAAAGCACTGGCAGAAAGTCTCAAAGGCTGATGCATGAACTGTATGTAACTGCAGCTATGTCTAAGTCTTCTTGCTGTTTTTTCTCCCCAGTCAGATTTCAGGTACATTGTGCCACTTGAGACAGGCAGCTCAATCACTGGGAAATATGTTGCGTGCAAGAGAAGAAAGAAGCTGGCCAGGTTGTAGCTGGCATCTTTTGAACAGAATGCTGCTGGCATGAGTTTCCAAATATCCTGATTAACATAGATCATTGGGGAGAATTCCTTAAACTACTTGCTGCTTTCTTTGATTTTAAAAAGATACACATCTACAGAACAAGAAACGCTGAAATAGCAAAAGTGCCATTGCCATGTCTTTTACACTGGTTACTCACAGGTATCTACAAACCCACTGTGCAAATGATAAGGAGCATTTTTAATAATAATAAAGGCATATTTCATGTAGTGCAACCCAGAAGAACCACAGTATTTCTTACATTACAAGACTGATCTGCTCCCCGCCTCCCCAGCTCCTGCCTACTAATTCGAGCACAATCAGAGCTGGAGAATGCATAATTCGTCCTGCAATCGACCCTGCAGGTCTTAGTCATTAAGCAACATAACACCAAACTTCCAGAAAGGTCACATTTCCAGAACGTTCAGCTGAAGGTTCTCTCTTATCCACTGAAAGACTCTGACAGGTTAAGTAAGGAGCCCCTCATGGAGTATTTGCCTGCATTGTTCATGGATTCACATTTACTTTGCTATCAGAGCATGACAATAGACAGAAGATATTTATCTGGGGAAGCCAAGAAATGCAGAAATCAGTGGGTTAATTTGCAGGTTAGCAAAACACAACTGACTTGTGAAAGCTTTTATACAGCAAAACACCGATAATGTGAAGATAATTGTTTGCATTTGTTATACTCTCAGGATGGTAGAGGATTATTGGAACAATGGAAATTTCAGGCATTGATTCAAAACATTTTCTGTCATTGAAGTCCCACACAATACAATAATACAGGTAACACAATCTAAGATAAACTCTCTGCCAAAAAAAAGTTTAACTTCAGTCTGAGTTAAGCTCAATGGACACGCAGAAGTTGGACACAAACAATTTTCTAATACAGTCAATGAGCAAAGAAACTGATCCAACATATAGACATAATGGAAAGCATCCTAGGAACATGAAGAAAAATACACTTAAAAAAAAAGTCCGTTTTTCTTCCATTAACTGGAAAACATATTGCATTTGTTCCCGAATCTGACCTAAAAGTCACGTTTGAAGGAAATACCAGCAGTTCTTTGGAAAAATGTAAGATCCTCTTCCCATGAGTATCAGCGCATCTTGCACATGCATACAAGTGCAACCTTATTGCTCATAGTTTCACAACACTAAAAGCAAGAGAAAAAAACAATTATATAGAATTTTAATTCACAATGCCCCCTTAGTCTACCAGCATTCTTGTCTTATCCATGTCAATGTGATCAACACTCAAAAGAATGTTGCCTTGCTTGTAAAAAAAAATAAAATCACGTTGCACGAGTATTTTTAATTGCAATCACTTCTAAACCCAGATCACATGCTTTTTTTTTTTGCTTTTTTTTTTTTTTTTGTGGAGTCATAATCCAACTTTAGTGTTGCTTAGGCTACAGATTAATCTCTATCCCCAGCTCCCAACAACTGGTCCATGTTCCTGCCATGCCCACGAGCTCGGGTGGTAGAATGGGGGCACCATGGTGCCAGCTGCAACACACAGCGAGCAAACCACTGCCTGCACCAACACAGTGATGGACTCATCTGAGAACTCAAAAGGTTTGTCTGCACAAGTTCCTGCCGGTGCAAGCAGCCAGCAGCAAGAGCAAACCCCACTCCAGCAGCTGGCAGAACTCTTCTCACCGTTTCAATTCCCTGAACGGACTAAGCTATGCCAAAAAAAAGCACTTTTTTTGCCAGCAGAGCTGACTCCTCAGCAGAGCTGCTGCCAGCACTGAGATAGCCACTCTAAAGCGGCACACGCTTTTTTGCCTCCCAGTTTCCTGTACTTCCAACTCTACACAGAGAAACCCCAAATGTAAGGCAAAAAACAAAGAAAAGCAGAAAATAGGTGTCAGGACGAGGTAGTGCTTGTCCTGCTGGCTGTCCAGCATCTCCATAGCAAACCTAAGGGAAATGTGAGGAGATAATGTGCATTCTTCGAGCCTGACCAAACTAGATGAAATTTAACACACGCACTTGTAAGATCCTGTTGCCTGAATCAAAGGGTTCCCAATCCAAGCACCTGAGAAGAGTTGGAGGAATCGGCAGATGCCAGGTAGATATTCGGACCTGGAACAGGCAGTGCCCTGCACAGGCTCCTCCTGGCTCTGCTCCCTAGCCAGAAGGACTCGATGATGCTGGTGGACCCCATGCAGGACAGCATATCATGCCAGTGATATCGGCGGCTGCTGCAATAGCCCCCCAGCCTTTGCTCAGACTTCATCTCAGGCAAGAAGAGCTTTTGAATCTGAAGCCAAGACAAATGGCTCCCATTGGAAAAAACATGGAATATTTTGGGGAGGGAGCAATTGTTTCCTCCTTTCTTCCTCCCACAGAGAAAATCTGATCTTCCTACCAGATTTTCACTTGCGAATGGGATTATAGGACAACATTCAGCTCCAGTGCCTGCCTACAAGTATTCCTGCGAAAAAGCTCAGGATTTTGTCACAAAGGTATAAATCACCCATCTGTGAACAAGAGACACAAACCTACTGAACACCCAGCTGTTTTTCTCAGCAAACCTTTCATTCCCGATGATGCATTACGTGACCTTTTTCCAAACCGAGCAGAAACTTATTTGCATGGAAACTTACTTGTAAACACACTTGCCTTGTTTTATTCTCTATTTCTTGCAATTCTCTGTACTCCGGCAGCTACTGTGTGCTGGAGCCCTGTGCTTCAGCAGGACGCCCTGCAGCCTGCTGCAGACCACGGCTGGCAGATGCCTTTGCTGCCACAACCTCCCAGGAGCAGGGTGTCCCCCCCTTGCCCCGAGTTCAGGGGACGGGGGTGACCTTGGCGGCAGCCATCCGGCCTCCAGCCGGATCTCCCCGGGGAGCAGACAGGCGAAAAATTCAACTGACCAGAGGCAAACGCCAGCATTTTTTAGAGGCAGTTTAGGAAGGTGGCAATAAGAAGTCCGGGTCTGTAGGAGTTGACTCAAAGGTCCCTGCAACATTCATGCGGCGGGAACTTCTCCGGGTAAACCATTAACCACCATAAAGCAGAGCTACGAAACGCCCCTCGCCGTAGGGGAGGCTCACACACACCCGAACACACACGCGGATTGCATGTGCATATGGACACACATATATACAGATATCCACACATGCACACACATATACAGGAAGACACACAGCTACACACATATATTTGGGGTTTTCTGAGGGCAGGGGAAACGCCGGCAGTTCCCTCTGCTCGGGGCGAGGCGAGCGCTGACACGGCAGCCCCGCGGCGTCAGAGCGAGGGAATCCGCTCCGCATCTCCCGGACACGAAGAGGGCACTCGGATCCGCTCCGCATCCCCTGGCCGCGAAGGGGGCACCCGCCCCGCTCTGCGCCCCGAGGGGCTGCAAGAAACGAGCGAAGCGCCCCGCGCCCGCAATCCAGACAGGAGATTTCTAACCCTCGTTCCCCAAAAATACACCCCCAAAAAGCGAGAAAGGTCCCCGCTCCCTCCAGCTCCGCTCTCCGACAGTCCCCGCGGCAGGAGGGGGTGCGCGGATCTCCCGCACCCCTGCCGAAGTTTCCGCGCGGCTCCGCGGGCGGCGGCGGGGCAGCGCCGGCTCCTTACCCGGCGGTGGGAGCGGGGTCCCGCGGCGGCCTGGGAGCGGCGGCGGCTGCGCGGGGGCGCGGCGGCTTCCTGGGAGCTACAACTCCGCGGCGGCGCCCGGGCGAGCCGCGCGCCTGCGGAGCGGCGGCGAGCGGGGAGGAAAAGAGGAAATGAGCGGGAGGCGCATTGGAGGGGAGGGAGGGGGAGGAAGGAGCCGTCGCCGAGGGACCGGGGAGAGCGAGGGACGGAGCGCAACTTCCCCGGCGGGGCAGCGGGCGCGCCGGGGGGGCGGAGCGCTCCGCGCCGCCGCTCCGCGGCGTTCGCAGCGCCGAGCCCCGCGCAGGGGCCGCCGCCGCCGCCGCTCCCGCCGCGCCCGGACACTTGGTATCGCCCTGCCCGGCCCCCCCCGGGCCGCCGCCGCCGCCGCCGCGGGCAGGAAGTGCAGGGCTGGCGGGGGCAGCGCGGAGAGGCGGCTCCGTGGGGCTGCGCGCCCGTGGGGGCTGCGCCTGCCCCGCCCGGCACGGCGGGCATGGGCGAAGGGTCGGAAAAAAGTTCTGGTTTTTGATCTTGGGGTGGGTTTTTTCCCCCTTCCCACCCTCCCCCTTTTTTTTCCTTTTGTTTTTTTTACCCCAAAACAAAGAAGGAAACGCCGAGGCAGGACACCCTCCCGCGGCACCAGCTCGCTCCGGGCCCTGCGCGCAGCCCCAGCGCGGCTGGAGGTGCCCCGTGCCGGGTGCGCGGAGTCGAAGGGTGGACGGCGGCAGCGGGGGTCGCTTGGAGCAGCCACTGGAAGCGAGCGCAGCCGCCTCTCGGCACATCTACCCCGCGCTTCCCTCTCAGCAGGGCGATGGGGCAAGCCCCGTGCCACCCACAGTGCCCCCATCCTGCGCCGAAAGTCGCGGTACAGGTGCCGTCGGCTGAGTCTGTGGACGGCTGCCGTCCCAGTGGCTGGAGACAGGCTGTCACCGTTCGCTCACCGTTCTGTGCAAGACGTGAACTTGCAGAGCCTCTCTGCATACCCCACCACAAAATGGAGGGGATTTAGGGATTGATGTTAATCTGCTTCCTGAGGGAGGTAGTTGGAAGCATTGCTCAGAAATATGGCCTGCAGCACAAAGAAGTGAATCTTCCTCTTAGGATATTCCTCCCCATTCCCCAGCTCCTGCCCAGAACATTTTTAAGTAAAAAATATATGAAGAATTCGATGTAGTTGCTAGTGTGGCTTATCGGTAGCTTTCACTCTGCCTTCCCTTCTAGGAGACTCTGTGAGCACATTCAGTGCTGTCGTGAGATAAGAACTGAATAGAGCTGAAATCAAGGACACACCAGGAAAAAGATACTAAAAGATTTTAGCGACAAAACTTGGGAAGCAAGGAAGGGTGGGGGTAAGGGTGAACAAACAGAAGAATTCCACCACCCACCAAAGCAGCCGTTTTTCAAAGCTTGTCTCTGCACTAAACAGATTTTTCATATGGAAAGGGAGAAAAAAACAAGAAAGAAACCAACCAAACAAACAACCCCCCCCAAACAAAAACAAAAAACCAAAACCAACACAGAGTAAACTAAAAAAAAAAAAAAAAGAACCAGCCAAACCTTGAACACATGTACTCCAGAGCTTGAATACATTGAAACTGGATACTGATGCAAAGAGAAGAAATTGTTACAGAGATTAAAATGTTTCTCAACAATAGCCACTTTCTCTGAGACCTTTCAGAAATAGGTGAAATGGTTTGGCCACCCTAAAAAGAAAATAATAAAAGTGTCAGCCCATGGCAAAGAACAAGCTTGGAAAATAAAGAACCTGAACAGTTAAAACTAGAGGAAATTTGACCAGAAACATATAATGGGAAATGCTATGCAACCACCATTGCTGCCAACTTCACCTGCTTGAAGCTGAGTTTTCCTCGCAGGACATGATTACATGTGAGTAATCCCCTTGATTTCCGGGCAAACCCTTCCCTGTGCAAGCATTTTGCCAACGTAAGCATGGCTGGGTGCAAGGATGGGGCTGTGGCTCCTGCCATGCCTCTCCTGCTGCTCTGCCAGGGAAGGTAGTGGCACAGATGACGACATCACTCCGCCCAGGAATATGTGGCAACAGAGCAAGTACCTATTTGAGGCCTCCTCCAAGATTTACAACCCTCAGGGCTGACGTCTGTGAGAGAAAACAGTTCATGGCACTCAACCCCACTTTCATTTTTGACACGGTTGTCACTCTATAGCCCCAACAGCAGCAGGTTTTCCTCTGCGTGGCACTGCCCCATGTCCTGTCATGGGCAGGCTGAGATGAGACCTGCAGCCATTTCTGAGGCTGCAGTGGCTCCTCTCCGGGATGCCCTGGTTTGATGCGGATTGGCAGCTGCGAGTGCCCTGCTTGGTTTGGGGTGATCCTCTGGTGGGTGTCTTGGTGCTGCTCTGCACCCTGCTCAGCATTGCACTCAAACACAACTGTCAGGAACTGCCTATTTTGGGAGAGTCAGGGACATTTTATGTCAGTGAGTACTTCCCTGGGAAGTGCCCATGGCTGCTGCTTTCTTTAATCCCTCTAATATTCTGTGTATTGTCCCAAAAGAAATTGAATAAATACTGAAAATAATTCTGGATTCAACAATTATTTGGAAGACACAACAAGAACGAAATTAGGTGTTGCTATCATTTATACCCAACTTCTTTCTTCACGAATTGCACCCTTCCAGCTGCAACTACATACAGGATGGTGCAATCCAGATAGACAGCCAACCAGAGAAATGCCACCAAGATTTCAGATGATTTAGAGTCCTAATGCTTGATAATGAGCAATTCTTGAGCTACAGAAATCCCTTAGGAAATGAGGAAGAATGCTTTTAGAAAGCTGTCAACTGCTCATAAGCAATCCGAGATGAAAAGAAGCTGCAGATTCATTCCTGCAATGAGTTTGTGAGGGCTGCTGCTCCTCTCCCAGAAGGGCAATGGAGCTGGTGAACAGTCTGGAAAATATGTCTTATGAGGAGCAGTTGAGGGAGCTGATGTTGTTTAGCCTGGAGAAAAGGAGGCTCACAGGGGACCTTTTTGCTTTCTACAACTACCTGAAAGGAGGTTGTAGCTAGGTGGGGTCAGTCGCTTCACACAGGTAACAAGTGGGCAGGAGGAAATGGCCTCAAGTTGTGCTGGAGAAGGTTTAGATTGAATATTAGGAAAAATTTCTTTATGGAAAGCATTGTCAAGCATTGGAACAGGCTGCTGTGGAAAGTGGTGGAATCACTGTACCTGGAAGTATTAAAAGATGTGTAAATGTGGCACTTACGGACATGATGTAGTGGTGGACTTGGCATTGTTAGGTTAGTTGTTTGACTCGATGATCTTAGAGGTCTTTTCCAACCTAAATGATTCTATGATTCTATAAAGGCATTTGCAAAACTGGTCTCGCTGGGTGTGTCCGACTTTTTGAAGTTCTTCTTTTGATGACATGTGTTTGTTAAATCCATCTGTAATAATCCCATGCTGACCTAGCGTGGACTTTCACAAACTTAAATCCATAGCTGTTCTGGCATCTCACCTTTTGTTTGATTTTTCTTTCTGCATTTCATTCTGTTTCTGCAGTCAGGTGTGAGAAACAAAGATGGATTAAATTAGATTCATCTGCATCATTCCAACTATGCTGAACTTGAAGATAATGTGTGAAATTCCTTTGGTGGTCTGAGGTTTAATCATCAAGGGATTAGGCGGAAACTAAAGTGTTTGAGGTATGTGGCATGCTGCTAGTCTTTAAATTTCTTCCATAATAATGTGAGCTTCATAAGGCTATTACTAATCTTGAATTATTATCTACCTTCCTGTGGTTTGCCATGATTAACTTGAGGAAGAGATTAAAGTGATATTTACCTTTTTTGAGAAGCTTTTCAACTTGACCTGGGCAGCCCAGTACCAAAAAGCAAAGGAAGATCCTGCTCACAAGGATTAAGGATTCAGCCCAATTTTTCCCTGTTGGTCTTCTGATGCCTGTCATGATTGTTGAGATGGAAAGTACTGGTGGTGTCCTTGACAGCAGCCAGTTGCTCCAGATGTGTTCAGACTGGGTGTCTGGGAGAAAGACTGTGTGGGTCAGACAGACTCTGATCTGCCTCTCCCAGAAGAGCCAGGACTTGCCTCCACAGCAAAAGCATGTCTTCTGATTTTGAGCTGGGGACATGGTCATCCTGGTCACACTGTCATCCTGGAGGTGGATGGTACACACTTCACCAGGGGAAGCTGCTGGTCAGCAGTTTAACCTGGGAAGGAGCTCCTGGCTGGGCCATTTGCAGAACAACCTTGAAGGAGAGGTTGGAGGAGCATCCCTGGCACTCTCTCCACCATTGAGCTTCCTCACAATGTACATTTGACAGAAGAAAGCAAAGTTTCGAAAGACAATGTAATTATACTTTTTAAATCCTCTTTTAATCCTGCTTTTGGAAATCCCTCAAGTGTCAGGAATCACTTTAGAGAAATTTGAATGAGAACAGTAACAGAGAAATGAACCAGTGTTATTTACCTGTGATAAAACTGGTTGGCAAGTACTTGGGGAAATAAGAGGGAAAATTGTTTCTATTTTCTTTGATAATTTTTTAATTCCAGTAATACACCTCTAGATGCTAATCTATAAAGCCTCCTATTTTTTTGCTACCAGATGCTGGGGCTTGAATCTTTGCCTGCATCAGTGTAACCCCTCTTTGTGCTCCTTTGCATATCCAAGTCTTACTTGGAAGTAAGTCCAAGTCCAACTTAACAGGCAAACATAACTTGGGAAATGCCAGCTGCACACATGGCTCTTGCCTTCAGTATGGGCAAGCAGCATGACCTGAACAGAAAGACCTAGTATTTAATGTGGTAGCAAAACAAATGTGCCTAGTGGTTTTGCCAGTCATCTGGATCGCAGACTGGAAGTGGAAAAGAGCAGGTAGGTTTTTACAATGAATTTTCCTGCCAAAGCAGGATTGTTCCCTGCAGTATTTTCTAGTGTACTTCCCTGGCCTATTTTAAATGACCTTGTAGGATGGGGAGAAATGGGAGGGGGGGAATCTGCTAGTTACCTTCAAAGTATCTGTCTAGTTTGAATAATATAATGTGGAGCAAGGGCAAATGAGTGCTCAGAGAATTTAGCTACATTGCAATAATAATGTAATTTTTTGCATGCTTTTTCATCTCCAACCTACTTGCTATGCCTGCTACTGTGCCAGTAACATCAGATA